TATGGTGTCAAAAAATGAATCTCTTCGACTACCCTCATCTTTTTATTCAATGTATACGTGTTATCAGAGTCCAAGTATAAATTTCACGACTTTATCATATCTGTTTATTGTGGATCACCCGATATCTGCTCATGATAATTGACTTTGATTAGTGGGTGGGTGTGGGGTGCGGGTGCGGGTGTGGATGGGTGTGGGTGCAGATCTTGTTTTTATCTATACCTTCATCCACACTGACACCCACACCTACACCCACACTCACACCCACACCTACGCCCACACCCACACCCACACCCACATCCTCACCCACATCCACACCCACACCCACGCATCCACACCCCACACCCCTATAAGAATGGTCTTCTGCCATCAGGAAAAAAATGGTTTGGTGATAATAACTATAACTGGAAACTTTTAGAAGATAATGACCCAAAACATGTCTCAAAAACGAGTAAAACGTTCAAGGTCAATAATGGCATACAATCATTACCTTGGCCATTGCAATCTTCCGACTGCAACCCAGTCGAAAATGTTTGGGCTTTAATGAAGCTTAAAATAAAGAAACAACCATCCACGTCAATCAATAATTTCTTTGTCAGAATAAAAAAAGAATGGAAAAATCTATCTGTCGAATTTGATGAAAAATTAGTCGATTCCATGGAAAAAAGAGTACAGTTGTTAATTGAAAGAAAAGGCGACTATATTAATTATTCGAATGATGTACATATAGTGTAGATTTTGTAAATAAAATATGATAAAATAACTCCTTTGTCTTCCTCGTTTTTTCGGTCGCGCCCACTTATGGCGAATACTGTATGTAGAGAGTAATTCATTGCTGAAGTTTTACGCAGTGAGGTGAGGAATGATTACGATATTTTACTCCAGTATGCATAAAAACGACAAGCTTTTAGGGAATTAGCAATAATGGGTATATCGTGTTTCACTTTTTAATCCCGCTGGGATTGCGCTAACAGCTTTCTTTGAAAATATCTTGATAAATCTCTACTTCAATATTGACGATTGCCATACTCATTCAAGCTACTTGCACTACTTCCGCTAATCACCTGCTCTCTTACATAGCATTACGCAGGAGATGAGTGTTTTCTTATTGATTCTGCGGAATTGATATATACGTTAATCATATTTAATCTTTTCTTGATTGAATCAGTCACATATAAAAGGAGGCGTTCACTTGTTAATCGTATATACAATACAACTATGCTCACTTGTTTTCTTCTTTTTGTCTGCATTAGCTTGATCACAGTTTCCCAAGAGGCCTGTCCGATTGAGAGCTATGCATTCAGCAGCTGCTTGGACAGTCGAGGAAAAGCGGTCCGTATCGATAATGGTTTTCGTTCGTCAATGGATACTATCTGTGCTGCCGCAATCGATTGCAACGTCAAACTGTACGTCACAAGTTCGTATCGAAAACCCGACTCGACTGTGCCTGGTGCTATTGTGCCTCCAGCACGCAGGAGTAATCATAAAATTGGTCACGCCATTGATATGAATGTTGTCTATGGGACGAGTGGCACATTGTGTAATAGTAAATGTCTCGGTGGAAAACAACCGACGGATGTGAAGTGTTTCATCGATGAGATCAAGAGTAAAGGATTACGGTGGGGAGGTGATTTCAGCACTAAAGATCCGGTACATATTGATGATGGATATAATCTGGATTATGACGCCTACAGAGCACTTTACACGAAGATCCAAAAAGAATGCTAACATTTTCTTTCTCGTGATCTTTAACATCTGTTCGTGTCACAAAATTTTTCCTAACTTAATCTAGCAATTTTTCGGGTATTTTAACGACGTTTCTTGTATCACCCCTTCTTTTTCTTTTCTAATAAAAGATCGTATGATTCAAGACATATATCATTCTATTGAACAGACTGTTTGTGTTGAAATATCAGGTGATTTGAGGGTGAGACTAACGCTAACACTGAGAGTGAATCTTTTCGACTCCCTTGTGACAGTCATGGGTCACGATTTTCATGCGTGACGCATGGAAAGCAGACTAGAATGTGGGTGTGGGTGTGGGTATGGTTGTGAGTGTGGATGCGAGTGTGGGTGCGGGTGTGGGTGCGGGTGTGGTAGTTCAATAGATACACACCCACACCTACACTCCAACCTACACCCACACCCACCCACCCTCATCACCCATTCACCCTCCCTCAAGAAAAATCCTTTAACGATGTGTCTCAAGTAATGGACATGGTTGAATGGACTAAGCAGTAACCTGTCAAGTCCTTTGGTAAATCCTTACATTGTCTTATCAGGATCCTGATGACTAGAATTGACATTGTCGTGCAAGGTTTAGAAACGCATATTCTTGAAAAGATCTGAAAAAGATTCTGATTGAAGCTTTGTAGGATTAGTTAGTTTTGTATTCTGACTGATCTTGTGATGTTCTTGCCAAGATCCTCGTCTGATGTAGCTATCACTCCTGACAGGATCATGATACGAAGATTTGACCCAGATCTTGACCAGAACCTGGTACAATCTTAACAGAATCCTCTCTCTCATAATCTTCAGAGGATCCTTGATAGGATCCTGTATTCTCAACTCAGAAAAATATCTGCGCAGCAACTTGAAGAAATTCTGAACAGAATCTTGTTCCACCTTGAAAAATCTTAGAAACAGGAATTACTAGGATTCGAAACAGGATCCTGAATAAAACTTTAGAGGATTTTTGAAATCAATGAGCCTGAAAGATTCTTCGAGAATTTTTCAAGGTATGGAAAGGATTGAGACTGGAGTTTATTTTAAATTGTTTGATCTGCAACAGTAATGCACAACAGTTCGTTAATAACTTTTTATATCTCTTTTTTTAATTTTCTCTCTCTCATCCTTTCTTTACAATTGAATATAAGATGACCACCAGCTAGATGATTAAAAGGCTAATTATTTATAACCTAGAATTTTCTGTAAATATACTCAAGCCGTGTTCTTTTAGAAAAAGAGCGACGTATGAATAAGAAAAAAGAAAGATCAATCATTTGGTTTATGTATATCTCACTTATATAAAGGGTGAGACTCGAGGCGAAAAATCATTTTTCTGTTAGAATACGTCGCCTCAAAACACAACAAGCTCTTTAGATGAAAAACATGAATCTGTTACTAGTAGTATTTTCTTCTATTTTACTACTCTCTGCTGATGTTCCTTCTCGTCCATCAAAGATCGATATTGATTCCACTCGAGAAGATTTAAAGTATCTATTTCAAGGGTGTGGGTGTGGGTGTTGGTGTGGGTCTTTCGTTCTACCATGTGTGTACACCCACACCCACACCCACCCACACTCACCCACACCCACACCCACCCGCACCCACACCCACACACACCCACACCCACACACACCCACACACACCCACACCCACACCCACCCACACCCACACCCACCCACACCCACACCCACACCCACCCACACCCACACCCATACCCACCCGCATCCACCTACCATCACTCTCACACCCACCCAATGGCTATTAATCGTTCGTGTTTGTGGTGCGAATCGTGCAAAATAGACGTTGACGAGAACAGAATCAGTTCCTTCATTGGAGTTATCATATTCAGTCCTCACGCATTCTTCGTTTAAACTGAGGACTGATTCCGAATTTTTCACAGATTTTTAAAGGCTATTAAGTACATCACTGCAAACTCGTTAAAAGGTAAAGTCTTTAGAGCAAAAGCGCCTTTATTTTTCCTTGTTAATGTTGAATATAATTGTGTCATGACCACGTTTTATTTCGCCTACTGACTCTCTATTTTCAAATTCGACCATCTGCTAATCTTCACACACTGTGTTCTTTCACTTTCGTATAAATCACATTTTAAAAAATATTTTTTTATTTTCACTTCTCTACTCTTTCAAACATGCGTTCCTCCATTGTTATAACTACCTGCATCGTCGCACTTATTCTGAGTTTAACAACAGCACTCCCTGCTCATGACAGTGCACAACGTGGACTGGTTCCTGATTTAAGTGGTTTAAGTGGTGTATTGGGGGGTGGTTTCTCACCTCTTTGTCTATTTCCGCCGTGTAATGCACCGTCCTTTTTATTCCCGGAGATTGATTGGGAAGCTTTACATGCAAGCATCGCTCAATGGAATAAAGAACAGGAACAACTGGCATTACAAGAAGATGAATGAATAATAATGGAATTAACTTTTAAGAAAACGAAATTTTGATGCATTTCTCTTGTAGTTTCTATTAGAGTTAATAAAAACCGAAGAGAGAAAAGTATGTTCTCCTGTACCGCAGAAATAAAGCTGACTGCCACAGGAATTCTTTAAGACAGAGTTTGGAAACTAATTTCAAGAAGATCATTTAACTAAACGAGAGTTACTGCATTTTTTTAGTCTTAACTAAGTTGCGTGTGATTCATAACAAAGAAAAAAGTAAAATATTCTTACCAAAAGAAGAGGGTGGCGCAAACAAATAAATAAAAATGTAAATTTATTCAGTTCTTGTCTCTAAAATTTGACTTAGTTAATACCCTCAGAAAAGGTTAAAAGGAAATGATAAAAAAGAGTTTCCTCTTCATTCTTCTTTTCACTTAGAACGATAGACAAGCAGAAATAATCCAAGAAAGATCATCTCTTCCTCTCTGAAGCAACACAATTAAACAAGACTCAGAAAAACGTCATTTTGATTCTTCTTCTATAGTCTCTCCACTCCCTGACATCAGATCGGTATCTCGATCTACTCCTTCAAGATCTATATGGTTGAATAGGTAAAGTTGCGTCTGAAGAATAAGCTTAGTATCGTAATTATATTCTTACATCTTTCCGACTAAAGACCCTTTTAAACCATATTACTTGTCACTGTAAGAGAAAAATTGAAAAAGTAGCGTCTCCGAGAACAGTGTTAGCAATGAAATTTTCGTAAAATAGACATTTTTGTAAGAACTATCAGTTTGCAAGAATATCAGTCATCATCTCCAGAAACCATGCATGAAGTGAATTTTTTTCGTGTTATTTGTTCGAAATATGTCAGAACTTAGAAACTCAACAGCAAAAATAACTTAACAGATATTTTTTATTGTTGCAAAACAGTCAGGTAGTGAGAACGATCAAGTTTTCCAGTTTCGTTCACAAAAAGCAATATTTTAGTATAAAAACAAAGAACAAATTTAACTTCCAATACACCATTGGAAAGAGCCTTCTTTATGCTATAAAAATCATTACTGAACGCGATCTTCCTATTCTCTTTCACTAGTAAGAAAAGCAATAACAATAGAAAATGATGTTGCTGTATGGCGAAGTTACAAGAAGCTTTTTTAGAAGCATGTGTTTTTTGACTTTTTCTCCTTTCCAGATTTGTCTTAAAAAAATATGTTAGGTATAAAATTTGTAGTTCAGACATTGCTGTTTCCAACAAAAAAAGTCTGGTTGAATTAGAAGTTGGCAACACGGCTCAACAGGGTTTGACATTTTTTCCATTTCTTTTGCATCGCATGTTAGATCAGCACGTCTGCAAATTGGGTTAAAAGTGACCAAAGTATCTGAATAGATGGTTGAATGAGCCAGGTGTGTTCTGTGGTCAGAAACATGACATGAGAATTAATCGAAAGTGCCAGTGATAGACTGAAATTCTTAGAAAAAGTGAGGCAATTATGCATGATTTTATGCATTCTTTTTTTCCTTTTTCGAATACGATCATCTGTGTATTCCATTATTTCTATATTCTTCGTTGAGTTTATTCTCTCCAGTATTTTATGGCCTTGAGTTAATTCAGTACTTTTTCTCTTTGTAGGACATAGGGCACAAACCCAAGTCTATGCCGAAAAGCGAACATTGCTATCAAACATCATCAACATGAACGAACATTATCAACTAGTAAGCTTCCTCCTCCTATATTCTCGATTATTTATCCTGTGTATTTTCTATATTTTTCGAAGTTTCAATTAAACATCATTGATGAAACGCCAAAAATGTCTCTATAAGAATTCAAAATTTTCCATGACATGTTAGGACGCTTGTATCCTTATAGTACTAAGAGTCAACAAGTTCAAATTCTGGCTTATATAGATAGAGACACCTAGTGTAGTTTATGATTGAATTGCATGCTATTTGTATGGGTTTCAAGAAAAAAAATGAAAAAAAAGTGTTCAGATAAAACAATCTGAGTCAATCCTTCGATAGACTATCATAAACAA